AAATGCAGAGACTGACTGGGCAGATGAGAAGACAAACCAGTTGTCTCCTGGGTATCTATTACATGAAAAGTATTGCTTGGTGCAGTGAAAGATTTGAAAACTGTGAGAAAGAAGATATAATCACAAGAAAAAGTAAATAAAATCCCTAACAGTAATCTGGTGCTCTCCTCTCACATCTACAATAACTTAAGTTTTAGATTCCAGTTAAAACAATGCAACATATCAAAGCTGCCAATAATCAGAGCTAATATTTTCAGTGCTTATTTGTATCAGGACCTTTGCCAAGTGCTTTGGATTATCTCATTTATATCTCACTACAATCCCATGAGATAAAACAAATGTCTTGTTATGGACATTTTCCACATGAGGAAATGGAGGCTGTTTCTGGAAGGCCCCTCATCTAGTAAGAATTCACACCAGGTAGTCTGACCCAGTATCCTCATGCTGAGAGCTGAAAGTTGCTTGGAGTTCAGCATAGGGTTGGCTTGGGAATGCATAAGGATGTTAGCACAGAAACCCAAGTAACGCAGCTTCCTACACAAGTTAGAGCACTCACTGCAGCTAGGTTCTTTATGATGCTGTGTAGCCCCACATCATGCCTCCCCAGCCAGATGCCAACCAGTGACCAGTGATCATGTCACATCACTTCTTCAGCTCTCCCTGTACTCCAGACCAACACAGAGCTTCGGAATTCTAAGTAGCAACAACGTATCCAGGCAGTGGATACCACTCTGCCACCACCACCACTGCCATGTGGGTGGGTTACATTCTAAAGGCAAGGAATCAGGCAGAACGCGAACAGTGATTATTTTCTTGAAAACTCTGGAACAACCTGAAGAGAAAGTCTCTTTAGTGACAGGAGCCTCGCCATCACAGTCCTTGGCTAATGACCGCGTGTCATAAATAGGATGTGGCGTTTCAGAATATCTTTAGAGCTATGTCCTTTTGTTCAACTAATTTAATTTACCAGTGCTCCTGGGAAAAGGAGGGGGAACCAAGATGCTGACTCCACACTTCCTGAAAAATCAACATTTTCTTTTTAAATTGCTCTCAAAAAAATTACATCTGACTGTTGGCTGCTGGCTCCCTCAAACTCTACCTCTGTCAAAATTCTGCCCTGGCAGGTGTGAGAAAGAATGGATGCAGAACTTGAGTGAACACCCACATCTGTTTTTGGAAAAAGGGAACAGAAGCAGCACAGAAGGAAGTAAAAGAGATAATTGCTGGCTTGAACTACGATACATTTTACTTGTGGGCAGAAGGCCAGCTTACAGCAGGCGGAATATGCAGGCCCATCTTATTGGAATTCAGGGGTGGGCCTCCATTCTTGTCCGGAGACAGCTGTAAACCAGCAGCCCATAGCATCCCAATCAGGCACCGAGTTTTGTCAAGGAATGCTGATATGTACAGAAGCAGCTTTGTCTGCTTCCCCGGCACCCCTGCCTGGTGAAATGACAGTCAATCTCTGATTCCAGATGACAAGAACTGGATAAAAGCTTAAAACAAATGGCGACCTTTCAAAAGATTAATTTGTTTACCAACAAAATGTTCCCTCTTTGTCATCTGAGATGGGGGTGACCTTCACGTTCCCATATCTAGGCTGAGAGGATGCTGACTATAGTCATCTGTTAAGTTAACTCTATCTCAGCAATTATTCCCTTTTTTATTTTTAGTGACAAGAAGGGTTTATTAATTCACTCTGCTTCTTGTTATGGTTTATAAATGCAACAAGCTCATTCTGAATTACTGCAGTGTAACATCAATTTGTTTAAATCTAATTCTGCTACCGTTGCCAAATTATGTTGTGACTGTAATTGTGGCCATATGCATGGGCTTAAAACACAATCATGTTTTGAGATCGTCCTTCTCCCCCCACCCCCACACTCCCCACCTCCACCCCTTACTTCTGGAGCTTCTTCTAATCATTTGACACTAACACAATTGCCTCACTTTCCATTACTTTATCATTTCAGAAATGAATGTGCTTTCAGTGGGAGAGATTACCAAGTACACCCCAAGTGAAACAGTAAAGAATGAAACTATGATTTGTGAAGTGTGGTTGCTACCCAACTAAGTTAGTGAAAAACACTGCATAACATATGACTCATAAAATCTAGAAGTCATAATAGTATTAAATTCAACCTCATGAATAAATAAAAGATTCTAAGTTTACATTGCATTATATATTTATTTATTTATTTGGAAAGTGGGACCAAAGAACTGGTATAATTCTACAGCAACTCATATCTTGCCAAAATGAAAAATGTTTTTATGATTCTTTTCTAGGTCATAATAGTTATAATCAGAGTTATTTGTGCAGCAATTCAAAGCAATGTTTTGTTTGGCTATTTTGTTATGCATTCATAATAGTTCTTTTAAAATTCATGTTAACAGATACATGTTTTCAAGCCTTTTAAGAAACCCTTTTTACTTAAAAAAAGATAAATCAAAGTCAAATTTTCTGTAGAGCTTTGAAAGTGCTGCACAGAAAGTCTAACTGGAATGAAATATCAGTGAGTAATATGAATGTTGCAGAAATTTCTTCTTGTCTCCCCGTTGCCTCTAAGGCTCTACTCAAGAACATGTTGTTTGGTGGTGGTTTACTTGTTTGTTGCAGATTTAAGATCTTGCAAAATTCATCATTTTCACTTTTAATGCTGTTTTGTAAATTGATTTTACATAAAATGATTACAGGACGTAAAACTCTGAAGGCAGTTTTGTGAGGGGGTGTGTATCTGGGACATGTATGTTTTTGATGCACTAAAATCTCTGCCTACGGCCCTTGTTTTAGGAAGACTACATCCCAATAAAATGGCAAAAATCCCAGTTTTTAAGAACTAATAATGTAAATTATCTACATATTCAAATTTGCTCTGTCAAAAATGTCTAAGATTATTTACAGGCTTTTGACAAGCTGTTCAAGTTTCATAAGAAGGAAGGAAGCACATGGCCCTCGGCAGCCAAATAATAATCCCCTTTGAGTGTTTAGAGTTGCTCTAAAAAGCGATTAGCCTTGATGCTGCTTCTCTAATTAACGATACATCACAGCTTAGACACATTGCTTCAGTTTGGGTAAGTACTTTCAAAAACATTTTTATTAGTGGCAAATCACAACTGTGTTTATTCCCAAATGTGCTACATGAATGTTTAAAAGCAAACATCTGAATATTTCTTTCACAGGGTTTTTTGCACAATGCTTCTGCTTTATAAATCCAAAATGAAAACAACTGTTTTTCAGTTAGCACCACCATATGCATACATATAAAAACATACAGATATATTCGTATGTGTTATATAGCAACATAAAATGATTGGATCAACTATTTTGATTGAAATACCAATGGTCAGTTTGAGCAGAATGCATGTGGTGTACCTACACTTTTAAGTGTTACAGCATTGCTTAATATGGAGCAAGTTTCATGGCGGGGGGCGGGGGGAAGATTTTTAATGCAATGACTGAATATACAGCATCTATATGTCCATGTCATGCAAGCCAAGTGCTTTCCCAAATCCTCTGTGTTCAAAGCACATGGCCATAGTATCCAACGCACTTTATCTATGTGCAAATTGGAAACAGATATAATAAATGATTAAGATCCTGCTCCCAATTTTGGATATAGAATTTAGAATTCCCTATTTATGTCGGCATCTTCTGCCCATATTCATTAAAGCGAGGAATACTCCTTCCTAATTTGAGAGATGAGCCTTTTGAAACTTCCATGCTCATCAGAAAAAGTTTGCTTGAAATGCAGCCGTTGCCTTGGGCTACAAAGCTCAGCACTTCACTAGCTAAGCCAATATTAATTCTAGATTGAAAGGAAAAACCAACAACAAAAGAGAAATCTGCTTCTGACTGTACAGCCAGAGAAATAATACTTTTCCTTCAAGGACTTTGGGCTCGTGGGAAGCAGATAAAAACCCTTTTACATTATTCACAGTGACATTTTAAATAAAGTTTCAAGCAGGAATAAAAATATCTAACTTTCTGGTTATTTCTTAGGCTATAAAAGTATTTCTAAGATAAAGTGTTCTTAAGTCAAACCTGTTAGAATAGCATAAAGCACACACAAAGAAACTAAATATTCACCTCAGGGTTACAGGAATGAAGTAGGCAATTAAACAAGCCTGTGCAAGAAGCATGTTGTGCTAGTTGACATGTTGTGGTAGTTTGAAATTTAATTCTAAGATTTCAATTTAATTCTAAAATTAATATTGTTTTTAACTTGGATTTCACAGACGTTTTTAACTTTGATTTCATTGACGTATACTTTTAGGAGCTTTGGTGAGAAGGCAACAGTTAAAAATGGATGTAAACTATATGGATGCACTTCAGTAATTGTGTTCAGTACTCGAAGTGATCTGAAACAAAATAATTTACCAAAAATGAAGCACTACTCTTAATTCTCCTGAGAAAACCCTACAACACAGAAAGAGTATGATCTTTAGCAGCAAGTTAATGGCAAAAATTAGGCACAGACTCTGAGATCCCTTAATGCCAATTTTATTATTTTGTCCTCTCATCATTTTGCTGACATAAAGAATTAGTCCCTGCTTGCTTCAGATTTAGAGTAATATTCTTTAAATTTTGTGTATTTACGAGAATACACCATTGAAGTTGATACCAGACTGTTGCTTTCTTTAGGTTTTTCCAGGAGTAAGCCTACTATCAAAGAAACAAAATATGTTAAATGTCCCTATTAATTCTTTTTATGGTTAAATTAATTTCTCTGTTAAAATGACAGTGTTAGGATTTTCTAGGAACATCAAATAAAATAAATTTGATTGCATTACAAACAGACCTTTAAAAGATAGGTTTACATGTTTATTCTTAAATGTTCCTAATTATAAACAGAATGAAAGTCACTCTATTTCATCTCCAAAAAATTCTAAGGACAAAGGATTGAAATCTTGATGAAAAACAACATGTTATCTTACACTACAGTAAGAAATGACTTAATTCTCTAAAAATTAAGAGCTCATTAAAACAATTCATTACTTACACAAGCTTTTCTCTGATTAATATATGGCAAACTGATTCCATAGTTCGCATTTACAGCAGCTCTGTGGTGGATGTTTTCAGGATCCTGCATGATTTTTACATTCAACCCTATCTTTTCCTGAAACAAAGAAACAATGAAACTTTCATGCCGGATGAACAAAAATGCTTACTAACATTTTATATCCACAGTGGAATATAAAGTTCTTTGAAAATAATTATTTTAATGTAATTCTCACTGGACACATATATTTATATATATTAACTGTTTTATTTAGTCTGTTAATTTCTTTCACAGAAAAAAGCTTCTGCAGATTTTCTCCATATAGCCAGTTTTTCATACAAATACATTCTCAGGCATCATTCACTTTCTCAGAAATAATGCTGGAAGCCAACCAAAATAGACAAAGGACTAGAATACCTGGTCTCAATTTATTTTTAGCTTTCCAGGTCAAGGGTTTTTGCCAATGAAATCTATACTACCAGTACACAGGTAGAGGGCTCCCTTGGTCTGTCAATGTGGCTACATTTCTCAAGGGACATTTCCAGGTAAATCTGCTTGGACTTAGTAAATTTTCCACAGATTCATTTACTTTTTCAAAGAGATTTTGCTATTTATAGGCAAAAGATATGCTTTCATCAAAACACTTTTATAAAGCTCCTTGGATCAGGTTTTCTTTATCTTAAGTAATTATAATTTAATTACAGCTAACCTGCTTAAATATAAAGCAGCAGAGAAGGCAATACAATGGTGGGGGAAAGGAATACAGTCTTCCAAGGACCTATGTTGAAGCTTTGCTCCACCCTGGGTAAGTGACTTCCCTTCTTTGGAAGTCAGTTTCTTTATTTGCAGAATGTGGCAGGCTTACTGGTCTCTTGGAGAACTATTCACCTTCCCCTCCCTCTCCACGTCCCTCTCTCCTCACTACTCCCCACCATTCTTCCCTCCCCTGTTTTGGGTGACTTGATGCTAAAGGTGAGTTGACCATTAAGGAATATGGTGTTACCAACAGTTTCTGAAGTTTTATGACTCTACTTATTGTGATAATTCACAGTACAAAGGATGAAATTCAAAGAGCAGAATTTGGTGGGTTTTAGCAGATTCACTCAGTTGTGCAACCATCAGCCCTACTCCCAGAACATCATCACCCCCCCAAAAGAAACCTCATACACACTAACAATCACTCTCCATTCCCTCTTCCTTCAAATTTCTGGCCATTACTCATCTATTGATACCTCTTTCTCTTGGATAGGGCCATTCTGGACATTTCAAATAAATGGATCATTCAATATGTGACCATTGAGTCTTTTTAAAAAGTGGGTGTTGTAAGCCACTTACGCAATTGATCTCCTTTCAATTAAGTGTGTTATTTCTAGGAGTGATCTGATGTAATTGTTAAAATGGTTGTAGGAACCAGGCAGATGAGTTCAGGATCCCATTATTTCTTTGATTGTGAGCATTCAAAAATGGGTCTGTGCCTAAGGTCAAGGTGAAGGGGAAGGTTACAAAAATACCTACAGGATTCATGATGTCTAGTTATGTTATTCTCACTACAAAATTTACTCCAAAATTTACTTTAATGTTTTTAATAGCAGTTTTTAAACCAAATCTCCAAATAACTGCACCCAACTGTCTATTTTATTTAACCCATGGAGGGACACAGGTTGCAAATAAGGCAGATTTGTTCTCGTTTCCTTAAGGTACTGTGTTGACAAAAGTAATGAGTGTCTATTTATAAACAGCTTCCTTTCTGTGGGTAACCCACACTCGCAGCGCTACTCCGGGTTTTTACACGGAAGCTGAGTGCCTCTGTTATTGAAATTAATACCTGAACATAATTTTTTCCTTCTTTAATTAAACTTTCAGAATAATTTCCATTTTACCAAGAATCGGGAAATTGCTAATATGTATTATATTGACTGGATGTGCTTTCAGTAATTAGGGTGTTTTAAAATGTGTATTCTGGATACAATTGGTGGTAATAGCTTCATCTATCATGTCTAAGCTTTGTGAGAACTTTTTAATTCTGGGATCATTGGCTCGGTGGACCATAGCAGTTTTCTTAGTTTTATTTTGCTCCATCAACTTTGTGTAGCTACAGGAATGGTGCAAGGGGGTGGAAGGAATGAGCAAATGCAGAATCATTGTTAAAACTGGCATTAAAGTACAGTTGCTTCCTGCCCATTTTTACATTTCTGTGGCACTGGACATTAATATTTCTGTATATATCAAAGCATTGAGAGAAACCTAACAAAAATGATAGTTTGTCATAACAACTCTTGATCAGTTGGCTTCTAAAGCAATGGAAACGTCCTTTTTAATGATCATTATTCTAATATTTACTATTTTGACAACAAAGCATTTATACACCAAAATAACAATATGTACTACACATGATTTAATTCCCCATTTAAAAAGATATCAAGGGCATCTACCTTTAAAAAATATCAACATATGAAATGGTTTCATTAAAAATTACTACCAGATACATTCAAACTCTGAATTTGTCTCACAAAATGTCTACAGAGATGTATGAAGAAATCCTTGTCTTTACAAGCTGCACTAGGGGACCCAGTGATAAGAGTTCTTAAGAAAAACAATTAGAGATTTAAAACACAAAATTAATCATTCCATTAAGCAGAAAAGCATGCTCTGGAAGATGATCAGTTTTTACCAACAGTAAGATAAATATCAGAAATAATTTCAGAAAATTTTCTTAAATTGTTCAAGAATAGACAGCAATTTATTTAATCTATTTTGAGTCACTAAACAATCTAAATTTTGTACACTCTCTTTTTGATAGTAATTACAAGCAGATATATCAAATGTGACTCTCATTTAGACTTTGGTTTGTAAGAACAAAAGTTATTATCAGAGCCAATTACTGTTTTACCTACATGGCTGCACAGAAGCAGGGAGCTCAATTTTCATCTCATCAGTGATTTTGTGGTATTTATTTTATTACTATGCCCACAAAGCTATATAAGAGGGAAATAGCTTATGCTATTAAAACTAGGGTTTGAATATAAGAGACTAAGGTTTCTTTTAGAAGAAGTTCTGAATTAAAAACACTAGGCAGCATGTAATACCAGCTCCCCAGACATGGGCAGACCATAAAATGACATACATCTGAGCAGTAGATCCCACACAGAGTAATCAAAATTGAAATGCTTCACAAACAAAGTTGAGACAAGCTATTTACCAAGTTACAGTATTATCAGCAGAACATTATTCTCCACAGTGTTTGCTACAAGTAATGCCTTCTAAAGTATATATTGCTTAATATCATATTCCCACTGGTTAAAGACATCTGCTGTTTAATCTCAAAGCCAGAAAAAAGAAAAAATGTCCAGTTACCTTTAACACTCTGATTCTTTCAACCATTATTATATTTAATGGAAAGAACAATGGACACCAAGTTCTAGGTCAAGTCATATAACAGTTTTGTAAAACTGAGTTGTTTATGAGATTTAAATGACTCATGTATGTTATATCTTGCAAATTTTAAAGTGCTATTTAAGAGCCTTCTGGCCAAAGGTCAATGACTACAAGGGATTGAAACAATTCAATTTTATAAAAGTCCTTAATAATATTTCCCCCCTCCAAGTCCTTAATAATATTTCCCCCCTCCAAAAAAAACTTAATTGATAAAATAATATTTAAGGTGATAAATAAAAGAAAGTATTAAGCATTTATTCTGTTTTTCCTGGAAATCAATTTTCTGATTCAATATAGAGTTGCTAGGGAAATTGTTCACAAAAGCTAATCAATGCAAAAGGAATGATAGAGTTATAAAGTCACCCCTTCTTAATCCCTAATGTACTTAGGTAAACATCAATGGTTGCTCTTACCATTAGTTGTAAAGGATAAAATTGAGCTGGAAATAATTGGAATCACTGATCAATCTTAAGATCACTTAAAGAAAAAGAGGAGTTTGACTCTGATATGCTAAAAAAAGGAAGTACACAGTTCCACCTGTGAAACATTTCTGCCAAAAAAATGTTACCTGAACTGGCCAAAATTCTAGACAATACTACCAGTTAACAAGAACTACTAGAGACAGAGGAACAGTAAAAATGACACCACTGGATTGCAATCAGTCAAATCCAGGCTGTGAAAAAAACCTCTATCATAAATGATCTGGTTTTTTCAACTAATAAATGTCATTTCTTAAATGAGGGAAACTGGTAAAAATAGGATGGGTTATGACTACAAAATGTGAACCTTGTTTATATCCTGATTCAAGCAGACTGCCTGATTTAAGACAATTTTAAGGTTTACAGGGGAAATAAATATGAACAGGGAATGAAGTAACATTAATGCATTGTGGAAATTATTAAAGCCCTTATCTGAAGTATTTACAGGTAAAATTACATGATGTCTGGACTTAAAAACTTTACAGAAAACAAAAAAATGGAGGGAATAAATGAGATAAGGACAGTCTCTCAAAAGAGATGGCCATTGTACTGAGATTTAAATGAAAGAAAAATTAGCTAGTCATGCAAAGACCTAGAAATGATTAAGGAGAAATTGATAATTGGTAAGAAGAGATAAATGCAAAAGCTGAACTCTTACTAATAGGCTAACCTTAATAAGAGGTGGTGCTCTTCTTCTAATATGACACGAAAGAAGGAATAAAATATAAACCCTGACATAAAAAAAAATTAATGAATTTAGTAGTGAAATTGGGGCTAAGTATATATGTATATGACTGAAAATTGAATAAATATTGCTTATATAAGACAGAGTTTATTCCTCTCCCATATATGAAGGCTAAGGTAGTCTGTTCAGGTTGGTTTGGAATTCCATGAAGTTGCTAAGAACCAGGTTCCTTCCAGGTTAGTACTATCCCTAATATATAGATCTCTTCATTCTGTTCTAAGAGAGCTGCTAGAATTCTTACTATCACAGAATAGAGGAAGCATAGACAAAGGGTCAAAGGTCAATACGCCAGTTCTCTTTCAAGGAAGTTTCCAGAAAACTGTCCACAATACTTCTCTTTACATTTCATTAGCCAGTATTTTAGTGATATAACTATGTCTAACTGCAAGCTGGTAAATGTCTTTGCAGTGGTAACCATATTTCTAGATAAAAATTAGTTGAAAATAAAGCCCTACTAG